TTAAAATTTGATTAGCAACACGATGAGCTGCATCACCACCATATCTAACGCTCCCATCACGAGCTTTAACCAAAAAGAAAAAAAAGTACTCTTCATTAATTTTCTTTTTATCTCACCAATTAAATCTAATTCATCAAGAAAGAGTATACATGGTGCTGCTCGACGAGCCTTATCAAATACATCACGAACATCAGCTTCTGGTTCACCAGTCCGTATACTTAACAATTCAAGAACATTTATCGAAATAAAATTAGCTTGACATTCATTAGCAATAGCTTTGGCTAATAATGTTTTACCTAAAATCAAATATCAAAAAAATATAAATTTCAAAAAAAATTATAATTCTAGTGACTCACCACAACCAGGTGGTCCATATAAGAAAACAGCACGTGATGGCGTCGTACCAAATTCGAGAAATTTTTCTGGATGTTGAAAAGGATATTTAACAAGTTGTTGTAATAAACGTTTACCATGGTCTGAACAACCAACATCTTCCCATGTTGTTGTTGGTACTTCAACAACTATTTCACGTAAAGCTGATGCATTTGATTGATTTAATGCAAATCGAAAATTTTCTTGTGTAATAACTAATGAATTGAGTACTTCAGCATTAATCGTATGTTCTTCTAAATCAATAACATGCTTTTTTTCTCGAATTTGTTGTAAAGCAGCTTCTGAACATAATGATGCTAAATCTGCACCAACATAACCATGTGTTTCATTACTAATTTGTTCAAGATTAACATCACCATCTAATTTCATATTTTTTGTATGTATACGAAGAATTTCTAAACGATCAACAGCATTAGGAATACCAATATCGATTTCTCGATCGAAACAACCAAAATGACGAACTGCTGGATCAATCAAATTTCGTTGTCTTGTTGCTGCCATAACAATCACATTTGAACGTTGTTTAAGACCATCTATTAATGTTAATAATTGTGAAACTATAGGACGTTCAACTTCACCATAAGTTTTTTCACGTTTTGGTGCAATTGCATCAAGCTTATCAATAAAAATAATAGCTGGAGATTTCTAAACATAAATATACAATTATAATTAAAAAATATCTGAGTGAAAATTTAATGTCTATAATGGAACTAATCTCAAAATGTCGGATGACTATCTATTGGACACGTTATATGAATGTTCGAATCTGTCACCTTCGAACTATTCCTAGAATTTTCACTAATAAAATTTTACCTTTTCAGCTTCTTCAAATCTTTTACGTAAATTAGATTCAGATTCACCAGCTGATTTAGACACAATTTCCAGTCCATTGATTAAAAAGAAAAATGCACCAATCTCATTAGCCACTGCACGTGCAATTAAACTTTTACCTAAAATAATTCTTTTTTTTTTTTTTTTCTAAAAATATTTCTATTATTTTTATCATACCTGTGCCTGGTGGTCCATATAAAAGAATACTTCGTGGTGGTTTAGCTCCAATTGTTTTAAATAATTGTGGATGTTTCAATGGTAATTCAATCATTTCTTTAATTTGTACTAATTGTTTTCTAACACCACCAATATCATCATAACCAATTTCATTTAAAGATACTTCTTCTTCTTCACGTTTAATGGGATCACCATCACAAGAAATAAGTGTACGTGATGTAACAATACAATACGGACTTGGTTCAGTTTCAATTACTTTAAATTCTACAGCATGCATAGCTGCATGTACAATAAAAACATCACCTTCATGTACTAGTCGATCAGCTTCAGCAAAATATGGTTTTAAATAAACTTTCAATAGATTGTCTGTTATTCCTTCTACAGTATCATCAATAGGTAAAACATCTATACGTTTACAAAATTGAACATCTTGTAAAACTTGAATTGAAACAATATCACTTGAACGTACGCGTAAATTATTTCGTACAACACGATTCATTCGAATACGATCATTTGGACAGGTATTATCAGCATGAACGATGCAAATTGTTTCTCGACATTTACTTTGAAGCATCACCGCATTACCACTAATTAATTGTAAATCATTCATTTTTTGTTGTGATAATGTAACAACACTATTATCACCATTAATAGCATTATCAATAATTAAACGATTTGGAAGTTCTTTACGATTTAATATAGATGTTGCATATTTTTCTTCTTTATTTGGATCGACTGGTTTAGCCATTTGTTTAGATTTTTCCTTTTTTTTTTGCAAATTCCAACCAAAAAAAACCAAAACACTGTATATGATTAAATCTACAAATATAGTTTCATATAGAGACAAAATGAAAAGAAGAAAAACATATTTATTCTTATTTTAATGCAATCAATAAAAGATCTACACAAATAAGAACAATAAATCACATTTTTTTTTCTAAAAAAGATTCGATCGTTACCAATTATCTCAACAGTAAACTTTGTCAAAATCGTGATTTTCGAAGTCCAATTGTAGACGAACGATAGGTTCTATAGATGGTCTGACTAAAAATGGTACGAGTTGGATCTCGATACTTGTGGTTCACGTTTGAGCGAGTGTTTTGTGGCTTTTCGTTCTCGAGATCTTTTGAACAGAAAATGACCACTTTTTTGCGTACGTCAAGTAAGTAAAAGAAAAAAAAAAAGAAAACTCGCGAAGGATATTTGTGTACTAACTATATGCGCTATCTCTCTATACGTATATATAGGTCCTTTTTTCCTCTCTCTTCTCTTCTTTATTTCTTGCGCAATATCTATCTATTTTCTTTTTCATACACATGTCGAACATTTCTTTCCTTCATCATTAAAACCTCGAAATTCATATTTGATTTTTCGTTCCATCTCTTTCTCTTCTTATTGCGCAGTTGGAAAAGAAGATACCTAACCGACTTCGTTTGCTCTACTTAATGTTTAAACTAAGTGCATGTGAAAGAATGTACCTAGATTATCTTTTTCGTTTTTGTTTTCTCTCTATATATATGCCCTCAAAAAAAAATAGTTTTACTCTGTATTTCTCATTTATTGTAGCTGTAAAAACACGTTTATTTAAAACTAATTATATATTCTGAAAGCCCGTGGAGTTTTCTATCATTCTGTATATTTACTTATTTTTTTTTGCATTCATTTATTGAAAAAATTATCTGAACGCAATAAAGACACCCTCATGTCCAGATTCTCACAGACTTGATTTTTTTCTTTGTCATCAAAACTAGTTTTGACAGCTTTTCAAGACTATATTCAAACTTTAAAGAATGAATAATATTAAAATTGAACATTTCATGAAGATAAGAATGTCCATTTGAAAATCCTGCTACTAACATATGTATTTTTTGATGATCAGCACAAAGAAGTAAAGCATCATGATTAGCATCTTCAAATGTTTCTTTATCATTAAATTCATAGAATAGAATAAAAACGATTTTTTTTTTTTAAATACAAATTGATTTATTTTTGTATTTTACTTATTCGTTCGTTTGAAAACAACCATATCGTCTTTAGTTCGATTTTTCATAAGATATTCATCTAAACGTTTTTGTTTTTGCTAAAAGTTTAATTCGTTCTCGTTCAACAACATCATCTAATTCTTCATTATCATCATCATTTCTATCATTGTCATTCTATCGATAAAAATCAAATAGACAATTTCATTTATTGATGAAGTCTAAAAATCAAGCTGAATTATCATTGATTGTTAATAAATCATTTTTATCCATGAGGATAAAATATCTAAAAAAATTCACATAACAAAATAATATTGTTTAGTTAGACAAAAAAAGAAAAAAAAACCAGTCACTAGAAAAATAAAACAAATAAATAGAAGAAAATATATTAATTATTGTTATGATGAAGATTATTTTGTAAGAATATCAAAAACACCAGTACCGTATTGAATCAGACGTCCAGTAACTAAATGAGATTATGGAGATTTTAATTGTTCATGTTCATCATATAATAATACTTCTTTTAAAGATGTTGTTGATGTTTTAAATGTTCTTTTTTGTAAAGAACTTCCATTTGTTTTTAAACCAAAGCGATTACATGACTTATAAACACCTTCATATGTCATATAATCAACTAATAAAGATAAATATTTATAATCAACTTCAATTAATTCCATAAGTACGAAATATTCGATTTATTTCACGTATTAATGTACGATTAGCTGCTTCAATACCAAATATTTCTACCATACGATGAATATTATTTGTATATATTCGACATAAATCAAATATTTGATAATATGTCATTAATGCATTTATATTTTCACCTTCAGTTGAAAGAATATATTCAATATCATTAGAATCAGTTTTTATTTTTGAACGATATTCTTTATTTTCTCTTATAAAACAATTTTGAATACCAACAATTGATGTTATCGATGTTCGAGATGCTTCACTACGAATTAATCTTTCAAGATCAATACGAGGTTGAGTAGCAGGAAATACCATTGTTAAACAAAACCATAAATTATTATCAAGATCAGCTCTATAGTCATGTATATAATCAGCATGTTTACAGACATTCGAAAAGGAAAAGTCGGTTTTTAATAAACGACATCGAAAATGTCGTTCTAGTTTGTTTTTTTTTCTTATATACATAGATGAAATCGTTGATTGTATGTCATATTATCCATAAGAGTAGTTTTCGTATTGATTTTCTTTGCTTTTTTACTTGGTGGTTCATCAATGTTATCTTCATCATTGCCAGGTACTTCTTGTTCATCATCATTATTTATTTCTTCTGTTAGATATATCCAATGCTATTTCAAAAAACAAAAAAAAAGTATTTTGTTATTCGAAAATTAGTTATTATAAACTGTTACGTTCATTAACAAAACATTAGTTGAAAGAATTTTTTTTTCTATGACTTTGGTTACCATTTAATCCTAGTTTTATGAATGGCAAATATGATAGGGAAGTCGCTTTGGAGTTCAGATTATGTATATAGAGTAGGTCCTAATCAATTTTAAATATTCTGAAAAGAGTTCGGCCTCTTAGATTATTGTTGGTGAGATGCTTCATTCTTAAATTGTTTTTTAATATAATGGTGTAGTTCTCCTCAGGAATATAAGGAAAACTTATTCTTGATGTTGAACTTGAAGGTTTACATAGAGATATACCTTAACGAATAGAATTTATTATGAAAGTTTCAAATCTTTTCATGATTTTGATCATAAGATAGAACTATGGTAAAAGATTATCTTTTATATTGATTATTATACATCGATAGATTCAATGTTCTTATTTCGAGATAGAAGCAAACCAAAATACTTGTAACATTCACAATAAACTATTCTCGTTAAGATCTGTTTGTATACAAAGGTTCAAGTTGAAATTGAAAAAAAAGTTTTCCGGAGAAGGAGCACGACATTCATTTAAACAATGTCCTCAAAAATGCAGTAGCTCAGTAACAATAATCTAAGAATTCAAATTCTTTTTCAGATTATTCATGGTTCATTAGAACCTACATGATGAACACACTTTCAACTCAAAAAAGATTGAACAATTGATGAATTTACCTCATTAGTTCTGCTGCGAGAAAATAATCTCTTCTCCTTTCCTTCAGATGTGCATCATGATTTATGATACGTATTCTTTCGCATCTATTCTAATATATTATAATAAACATGTTTCATCAAGAATGTACATTAATAGTGCATAAGAATTCTACATACTGAAAGATAAGTCGATAAAATTCATCATTTACAACATTTTTTTTTATTTGAATAAAAAAAATATGTGCCTATAAAACTGAAGAATCTACCAAAAAACAACTAATTCTGAAGTTTTATTTCTCTTATTTATTTTCAATAAGATTACCTGGTAGATCATCATCATCATCATCATCAATGACATCTTCTTTAATAGTGATTTTTGATGTATTTGTTTAATCATTTTCATCTTGATTATCTTGCATTGTTTCTTCATCATCTGTTTCATTTTCTTCATTGTTATTATTATTATCGTCATCATCATCATCATATTCTTTTTCATCATTTCTATTTGCTTTTTCTTTGGCTGTATTAGCTTCACCATTAATTTGTTCATCATCTTCATCATCATCATCATCTTTTTCAGCTAATTCTTGTTAATCATCTTTATCATTTGAATGATTAATTGTTATCTTATCACGAATATGTGCTGATGTTAAAAGAGCAGTTGTTGTTAATTCTTTACGTTTTTTATTTATTGAACGACATAAACGTGAAATAAAATATGTTTCAAATAAACGTATAATTTCATTTAATTGTTTTTTTCCATATTTTTCATCAAAATAAAATTCAATTTTATATGTACGTTTATGATCATTTAATTTTAATGAAAGTTTTTCATGAATATTTAAAGTTTTTAATACTTGAGAAAATAAAAGACGAGACCAACGACGTTGTAAACGTTTTGCTTTACGTAATGCTGATGAACTTATGTAAAATAGGTAGAATTCCATTGTTGGTGTTTTGACCTTTTGAGAAGCAACCATAAGTAATTGACGAAGACGTGGAACACCTTATGTTACATTCATTTCACCACGACCAGCAAAATGAAAAGGTTAAAAAGAGAAAAATTTGTCAAATAGAATTGTTATTGATTGTTAAAAATAAAGAAAAATAGTGAAGAAATTTGATATCTCCGGTCTAGTTCAAAGCACATGAAATTTTCCGAATATTAATTCGTTTTCAAATAGAAGATCGAATTTTCACATTTTTCTATTTTTTAGTGAAATTCAACTAGTGGTTTATAGAAAGAAGAATAGATTCTATTGAATTTCAAGAACCACAGAATTGAATGAAATTAGACCATAAAAACAAATGGGAGCTAAGATTACATACAAAAACGAAAAATCAGATCTAATCTACTCAGGTTTCGCTGGAATCTATTGAGTTTCGACAAATTCTTTGATTGTTGAAATTTAATAGGATTTGTCAAGATGCGCATTTTCTTTTTTTAGTTTCAAATCATAGTGAAATTTGTTGACTGATAATGTATTTGTTGGATTTCAACGAATCGTCATAGGCTTTCAATGAGCTTCAGCGCACTCGAATCCATCTGTTCTAAGACTCTTGATTTATTTACTTTGATTTACATATAAATCGAAGTTATAAAATGAGATGTAACTAACATAAAACATGTTGTAGTTTCATATCGACTGACTGAGTTAATGTATTATTTATTAAACTTTCGACGATCTAAATTGGTACTATTCTCACTAACTTTTTCATAATAAATTCATTCGAAATCTAAATCTATAAATCATTCTATATCAAGTAGAAATTTTAAGTCTAATTCAATTCGTTTTCAAACTGTATTTATCTCGACAAAGCATAAAACCATCTTTATTATTTTCATTTTTTCTAGTTGACAAAAAAAAATCGAATGTTAATTAGAAATAAAAAAAACTGTTGTTACTAATCACTCTGTGATTACTCGACATTATTTATATACGATCATATAAAAGTTATATTCGAAATCTAACTTCCTATTCAATGTCATTTATGTACTAGCTTCTCCAATAGATTGTGCAGCTAAAATTTCAACACTTTAACCTGGATCAATAGATGATTTAAGTGATTTAAAATGAATCATTTTTTCAAATGTTCGTTTATCCATATTAGTTTTATCTAATTTTCCATGTCTTGTTATATAATTTCTTATTAAATCATTTAAACGTTGAGTAATAGCACCTAACATTTGATGCTGGTAAAGAATTTTGTGTAACAGGTGAATAAAATTTGACAAGACTATAATTATATTGTTGACGTTTATCATCAGATAAATTTCTCCATGTTTGAACCATAATTGAACGTGCTTGATTAATATCTTTACTTTTTAATAAATTAGTTAATCTATGTAAATCAAAAAAACGTGAATAATTTATAAATGGTATCATACGTATTTTAGTTGCATCAGTTATTTTTAAATATATTTTCATCATTTAAATTATTTTCATCATCAGCTAAATCCCGAGTTTTTTTTCTCCATGCACCAATTTTGTTAAATGTTTTTATAATTGGTTTTTCTTTTGTTGAACGACATATATCAACAATACGTCAATATTCATCTTTACCTAATATTGTTGATTGATTAGCAATAAGAAATGGATAATATTCTTCTTATAAATAACTACATTTTTCAAGAGCTAAACCATCTTCACCATATTGAAATTGTCAAACACTTCCATCACTATAACGTACTGTTAAATCATAATTAACAACTAAACATTCGAAATGTTTCATTAAACAACGTTGTAAATAACCAATACGTGCAGTTTTTACAGCTCTATCAATAAGACCTTAATAAAACGAAAAATAAAAATGAATTAGATAAACAATTGTTTTTCATACTTCTCGTCCAGGCATAGAATGAAAAAAATATTCTTGTAGTCGTATACCACTTAACAAAACTTCTATCAACAAAACCACCTGATCGTGGTCAATATTCATATGGACGAAATTATGGTAAACGTTCGACCGCTTGGTATCATTGGTGGACGTTTACCTTCTAATTCTTGTTGACCAAGTAAACAAGATATTTGCATTGCATTTACAGATGAACCTTAAATAATATCAAAACAAATCTTTTATTACTAGAACTTTGAAATTAGTAGTAGAGGTTTTATTGCGTTTTTTTAAAAATGTTAACATAATAGAGATTAAAATTATGTGGGAGATTGTCGAATTCTCTGATGAAAGGAATTCGATTTGTTCAATGAAAAGTATCAATCGATTTTTGTTAAGCAATTTATCAGAATATTTCTAAAGGGAGATAAAACGTTGGTTAGAAATAGATTATAGATACTCAATGTTTGGTCTAGATCGTAGCATATTACAACCAATGACAAATGAAACTTGTTCAAAACTGTCCATATATCCTTCTTAGAACATTTGTTTCAGTTCGGTTTCAATAACTATTTTTTTCATTTGTTCTAAATCGGATGATTTTAGTCGATAAAAGAGAGAAAAATGTCGATTTCTCAGTTGTTATTTGATGCTACACATCATCAAAGTTTAGTTCTACCTTTCTGTCTTTGGATATGCGCGTTCGGTACACTTAATTGTCACTGATATGAAAAAGTTCCTTCTAACAAAGATCGATTTAGTTCTTCCTCTCAGCAAATAGAAGATCATCCGATCTGAATGAATGCAAAATAACAATCTATATCATCGAAATGATTAGTTCATCACTTTCGGCTGTTTTGTTGTAACTTCTCTGACATATCTAATATCGATTATTTAACATGTTTTCTATTAACGAACAAACGAATTTCTTTTGTGAGCCGAAAAATGTGTATAGATGAACATTAATAATAGACAACTGTTCACAAACTGACAAATAGGAAATAGGCATGTTTTAATATCATTCTGTTGAGATTATTTTGCTCTTATGAGATTATACATAGTCTAGAAATGAAACGATGATCAATTGAGAGAAAGGTTTTCGAACTCGAACAAAAAAAATGCGAGTATCAGATTCATTATTGAAACACTGATAAGATCAGAATAACCTATTTCATAATAAACGAATAGCCTTCATTTGGTAGTAAAGGGTTTACTTTATATTTCTTTCCGTCGTCTGTCAGATCAGTATATAGAGGTTTTTTCTCAACTCTTCTCAAGCTCGATACGTTCTCAAACCAAAGTATTGCAATAAGCGCAGTTTACCATATCTATATTAAAATTTACAAAATAGTGATGACAGATGAACATATAAATGAGAAAAGTAGTGTAATGAACACATCACTCAGGTTATATGAAAACAAGGAACTGAAAAAAGTATACAAGTCAATATTTAGTTCATTCACATAATTATCATAGCTCGTATCAAAGTTCTCACGAGGGAGGGTCGACAAATTACGGATCCATATTATGATAACGAGGTAGGTCTCTATGAGACTAAGAAAAGTCTGAAAGGATTCATGCCTATGGCATATCGACGAAGAGTTATGACCGTTTTACTGAATTTTGGGCCTGTGGTAACGGATTTCCGAAAAGACCGAATCAAAGAATTTCGACCTGATATTTTGTCCATAGATAGGTCTAATGGTCATTAGAATTGTCTGAAAGTTTCAGCCAAAACGAACGTTCCTTTCTCGAGATATTGAATTTGGTTTTGGTGACCTGTCTGTGAAAAGTGACTAGTTTTTGACAATTCAATATATCGAGAAAGGAACGTTTGTTTTGGCTGAAACTTTCAGGCAATTACAATGGCCATTAGACCTATCTATGGACAAAATTTCAGATCGAAATTCTTTAGTTCGGTCTTTTCGGAAATCCGTTGCCACAGGCACGAATCCTGTTAGGCTTTTCTTAGTCCTACCTCGTTGTCATAATATGGAGTCGAACAGCGTCTTTAACTTGGGAACCTTCCTTCGTCAGACAGTTTGAAAATTTGACGGAATCTTATAGACTTCTGTACTTGTGAGGAATTTCCAGGTTGAAAAATCCGAAATCGATTTGGTAGTGATATAAAAATCGAAGTGACGTAGTTATTAAAAGATTCGAGTATAGAATTAGTCGACCTGAAATAATGAATATAGGATGGAAGGCTTTAGACATAGATTCCGACTTTCAATAACATATTTTACTAGTCGATGACTTCAGTCTAAATCCTATTTGAATTTGAAATGCTTGACAATAAACGAAATGAAATCTAAATAAAAATGAATGAATCAATAGTTTAACCGTTTAGCACCGGACTGAATTAAAAATTGTAAATTATTATCTGTAAATTGTTTAAATAAATTTGACATAGATTGTTTAACAATTTGATTTTGATATTGATCAATAGATATTTTATAATTTATATCCATTTATTTTCATATACGTTCATCAAATGATTTTGAACAAAATCCTTTAGCAAATTCATTAATAAGTATTTGTTCATTAGAATTTTCCGGAAGAGAAAACGTTTTTTGTAAAGATTTTTGACCTGCTTGAGCACGACATTGATTTATTAATCGACATCGATGTGATACACCAGGTGAAAGTAAAAGAACATCTAAAACAACAAAATATTTATTTCTAGATCAAAAAAAAAATTTTTTGCCTTCAATTCCAAGTGTAAATTGAAGATAATATTGTAAAAAAACGTGTAAATTATTTCGAAAAATCAGTAACACGATCAGCAGCACAACGTTTTCCATATAATTCATAATAACAATGAACAACAGATACAAGTGTTGAACCACAATGTGCTTTATCAATTAAACCAGATAGAATATGTCCATGACGAATAATAACATCTCTATTAGACATTAAATCAATATTTCTTGCATTTGATTTTGATGGGCATGACTATAACAAATATTTTTATTATTTTATTATTTATATATGAACTTTTTTTTTACTTTCATTCAAAGTTTTGATTTACTATCGAGATTAACTGGTTGAATATAAATAAGTATTGTTGAAATAATCTTAATAAAAAAACAAATAGATTTTATAAAGATAAACAAATAAATCCTTGTTTTCCAGTCCATAATTGTTTTGGTTTCCAAATAGATGGTGGTAATAAATGAATTTTTCGACGATAATCTTATCCAATTGCATTATATAGAAGTTGTTGATAATCAGATCTTAAAATAAAAAAGAAATTATATAAATATAATTTAATAACTTGAATAAAATAAAAAACTTTTCAAAAAATCGATCACGCATTGTTAATGTTCTACCAGCAAGAACATCATCTTGAATAAGACCAGTTAATGGTGTTCCATCTTAACTTACAAGAAAATCTTGATAATTTATCACTAAAAATAGAAAAAAGAAAATTTTGTTTTTTCCTTGACAAAAAAAAACCCATATATACTTAATTAAGTAGGTTCAGCTCGTGTTAATTCATTTTGTGATAAATGAATATTCATTTTTATTTCATCACCATCTAAATCACCATTATATGATTTACATTGACCATAATGTAATCTTAAGCTTTTTTCACCAGGTTATACTCGATCCTATAATTAATACAATTAAAATATCATTGAAAGAACAAAAAAATAAATAAACCATATGAGCTTGTATACTTGGTCGATGTAATCTTGGTTGACGATTAACAAGAACATAATCACCGGTTCGAACATGTCGATAACACTTTTTTTCGTCGACATTAAACTTGTATTACTATGTTGTTTTTATCTTGTTAATCAAAGTTTAGCAAGAGCTGTTCGTTTAGATAAATTATATGGTAATAAACGACGAATTGTTCCATCGTTCAAGTTCAACAAAATTTCCTCTAAATAATCTTTTTTTTATTCTATATCATCAAAGAATTTTTCTTTTTTCTTTTCTATTATATCCAGGATGAACATCTGGTCCATTAAGAATTAATTGACGTTATTCATCAACATTATGTCGTGTAACTAATTGTGGATAACGTTAATTTTTTTGTAAATATTTTAGGTATTCCAACGTTCATAAATTGCAATAAATGGATCAGGTGATATTACTGATCGACCAGCATAATTTACAGGTTTACCCATCATATACATACGAAATAAACCTTCTTTTTTTTCAATAACCTTTTTTTATTTTTTCAAAAGATAAAATTAATCATTTTACAATAAAAAAAACAAAGAATAACATACTTTTAGAATACCTTTGCCTACTCGAGCACCACTTCGATTATCTAATCAACTATCAAATATAGAATTAAGAGTAATTTGTATTTTAAGCCAAAGATTATTAAGTTTTTCTTCATTTGTTATACCACGTAAAGTATTTGTTAAAGAAGATCGATTCTGAATATAAAGAAAAAAAAAAGCAGAATTACAATATGAAACACGATGAACCTGTTGATATTATAAAAGAAGCGATTAATCAATATAAAGGGTGTCCCAGAAGTTCTGAAATGATTTTTAAAAGTAACCATTTTCGCATTTATTATAAGCGAATCTTTTTGAAATTTTTACAGATTGTTGAACCTACTTTGTATCACATAACCACAAAGTTTCAAGTTTATATCTCATCATAATGATGAGAAACTGCACAAAACACTGCGATGAATTTTTTTCAAAATTTTCCGACAGCTAAAGATGATGTGAAAATAAAAGGAAAGTTACTATTTTCAAGGCTTCTTACTAAAAGTATCATGTACTAGTTTTCACAATTTCGTCATCATCTAGCACAAAAAACGGATGAAGAATTAGGTGATTTACGTTATGTTATCTTCCAAAATGATCAAGATCGTAAACAATGAATGCGAGTAACTTTGGATGCCGGTGATTATGTTTTTCATAATCAGATTGAACCAAAAGAATGTGCTGCGAAATTAGCTGACGTCTGGCCCATCGAAAACGTTTGGGGTATATTGAAAGAAAAGGTTCGAGGGCGGCAGTATAATAGTCTTGAACATTTGAGAAATGATGTTAGAAGCGAATGGGATCAATTTAGCGTGTCTTTATGTCGACGGATGATAGATAAAATTCCAGAAATATTAAAATTAGTTGCTGATAAAGGTGATAATCAAATATGGAACCATTGTTAATTTGATTCGTTCTTTATATTTGTATATATTGTTCTGATAATAATAAACTAGATGATGAGGAAATTGCGACAACTAGTACATGCTACTTTTAGTAAGAAGCCTTGAAAATAGTAACTTTCCTTTTATTTTCACATCATCTTTAGCTGTCGGAAAATTTTGAAAAAAATTCATCGCAGTGTTTTGCGCAGTTTCTCATCACTATGATGAGATATAAACTTGAAACTTTGTGGTTATGTGATACAAAGTAGGTTCAACAATCTGTAAAAATTTCAAAAAGATTCGCTTATAATAAATGCGAAAATGGTTACTTTTAAAAATCATTTCAGAACTTCTGGGACACCCTTTATATGTTTCAGTTTAGGAAATTTCACCTAGTGCTAATGCATGTCACTGTTGGAACGATATTGACTTGGATCTGACGATTATATTGGGAAAGAGAGAGAGAGAGAGAGAGAGAGAGGTCCAAACGTTCTACTTCTATGCTTCAACATTCCTTTTAGATCGCGTTTGAAAAATAATAAAAATATCTTCGAGTAGTTGATGTTGATATGTCTGTAGTTTGTTTATCTTTTAATAATAAAAGTTCTTTCATATATTGATTATCTTGAATAATTGTTGAATATCGAACTCTTTTTGAATTTTCAAATTTATTGATCATTAAATGATAAAACCTTAGAAAAGATAAATTTGAAATTTTTTCTTTTCTTTTTAATATAATTAAATACATACAGAACCAAATTTTCAAGGTAAAACAGGTAAAACTTGAAAAAAGAATAAACTTATTGGGTTATTATGAACATGTCTTATTGAATGATCTGATGATCGTAAACTAGCTAAATAAATAGCAACTACTTCTTTTTTATTTCTCCAAATTTTTTCAAAATGTTTTAATAAATCTAATGGTGTTAAATACATTTGACTGGACATCATTTTTGTTAACATTTCTTCATCATCATTATCTATTGATTCATCATTATCATTCAATTTTTTTTATTGTCTATAATCAAAAGAAAAAAAAAAATATTTGACAATGTATTTACGTCTCAGTGAAGGCTTTAAGAATCTATGGTAACTATAATAGAAATCAGTGAAATTTCGTGGATTTTATTGAGTCCACAATCGAAACTAATGAGGAGACTCCACAACACTGGAAAAAAAACACTTTCGATCTCATGTCTTACCAATAACTGGGATTACAGAAGTTCGAAACGATTTGCCTCTATAATCCTTCCGACAGTATTATAGCCGTTGTTCCTGGAACTTCATCCTATAACAAACAATCGAATTAACGAATTTCAGTCTGAAATTTATCCATAAAAAGGTGATATGATCTTTAAAGGATCCTAAAAGTTTCATAGAGAATGGTTGCTCCGTTTTGTCTTAAACTTATTAATTTGATTGCGAAAAGGAAAATGTTGAAGAGATAATATTTCATATAGATATACGAAATCGATAATATTGATGTACTTTTCAATCGTTGTCTTATTTAATATATCCTAACTCCTTCCAACATTTGGTGTTCTTTGCAGATATATCTATTCTACTCGGTATTCTTTTTATTAGAATAAATAGATGTGTGAGTGCATTGAATAGATTGATTTGTATGGTTATTGAAAGTATGATATTCTATTGATGAGAAATAATTGATTAAATACTTCCCGAACATTAGACATACGTTCTTGATAAGCTTTTATTTGTTTATTTAAAAGTTCTTGAGAATAAAAAACGTTTTGAATGTGAATCTGCACGAAGTGTACGTACAGGTCTATTGCAATTGGGACAAAATTTTTCTAAAAAACAAAAAAACCAATAAAAATTAATTTGAAAGTTTTCTATAATTACAAAACAAAATCTAAACTTTTTCTTTTAAATGCTCGTCTTTCAAAATCTTGTATAAGTTGTTGTCGAATAGTTAATTAATTTTTTGTTGTTACTTCTATTTTAGTTGATGATGGTGGATTTAATTTCATATGTTCATTTATTTGTTCATAAAAGTGTATCTAAAGATTTTGTTTTTCTAATATTCATCTTTTATAAATTGATTCTAAATTATCTATTTCATTTGTTTGAGACCATGTTTTTAAATAAACCATTTCCATATTAAATAAATATTTTTCTACATTTGAACATTAAATTCTATGATAATAAAGACAACAACAACCACGAAGAACCTTGAAAATTGAAAAAAAATATAAAACAAAAAAAGATTGAAGAAAATTTATTTATTGTGATTTACATTAACAAGATTGAAGAAAGAATACCGGATTGTAAACACGTAACAACAAGTTATATATGTCCAATATGCCATGGACAAACAATAAATCCCTTGATGACAAGTAAAACAACGATCAGTTTTTAATCAAAGGGTTCTAATGGTAAATCATATGGACTATCAGATAGTGGTGCATCAAGACGATCAATTGCTTGTGATGACGTTAATTCTTTTACAGTTAAACAACGAATTTCTTCATATATATAATTATTAAATAGAAGAGTACCAATTGTGGTATCGGATGGATAATAATTGATTGTCTCCATCTTGTTTTCTACTTTGAAAATAAATCAACTAAAAATTCATCGGATGGATTTCAGATCCCTCTCAAACGTCAATCGTCTATTAAAGAGAACCGATTAGAAATTATATGGAAATTTTTATATATTAAAAATTGAAAAAAATTTCATTTTAATAAACGAAAAATTTGATTTATATGAAAAATAAAAGTTTTTATTTCTCTGAAAGAGGACGCCACAAGATGATCTCATATGATTTTTTTTCTTACTTGACAATTTAACAGAAACATTTCCTTTTTTTTCTATAGCTAACATTATCTTAACAAATGTATTTCGAGTAGATATATTTAATATATGGTATAGTTGAATAAAAGTAATTTGATTGTTCTTTTCTAATTATTTATCTATAATTTATATTTGAATATAATATCATTTTTACTAGCAATAGCATTGTGCTTTTATTTAAATAATAACTAAGAAAAATATCTTCTCACATGGAACTAGATCGTATTCGAGTTTTACTCGATTCTAAAATCCGATGGGAAGATTCGAGTGTCGATTCTTTATTTATCTAATTATCGTAAAAAGAAATAATCAGTTATATGAATAAAATCAAAAGTTTCTACCATTTGAAAATATTAGAATTAAATCTTTGACCGCCGACATAAGAGAAGAAGGAAACGATTTTGGAGAAAGTTTATTTATCTTTTATGGAATGGTTCTATAGTTTCTCTTTGTAAAATGGTATGCTGAAGAGCGCACAGTATACAGTGATTGTTCTTATGTAAATGCATCTGAAAAACATTCATTACGATACAATTGATTGCATCAAGTTTAGACACTGATAAAGTCCATGACGTTTATAAATGGCGGGGGGGGGGGGGGGGGGGGCAAAGGGTTAATATCATATTAATATAAGGTAACATACAACCGGCTAAAATAATATTATCTAATGTTGAACTTGACATAGGAATATATCTAAATGAAATAAAATAAAAAATTCCATTATCCGTTTATTTTATCTTTTACCTATGTAATCGAAAATGAATATTAAAAGCAAGAAAAGTCCATGATATAAACAATCCAATTCCACTAGATATTGATATTGATATTGATATAAATACTGACAAATAAATATGTTCAAATTGAATTGTTTGATTTGTTCGATCTCGTGGTGGACCATTTCCTTAGCAAAACAAAACCTATTAGCACAATCTTTACAGAATTAAAATGTGGAGTAAGATGTTATCATTTTTTCTAACTAATGGAAAATTGTTCTATTCTATGTATTTTGGGATGCATTTCTTCACTATCCTTTTAACGGATGGGCCAAAAATTTTCAAATAATATATTTATTCATTTTTCGATCGTTTAAGACAATTAGCAGAAGCTATTAAATATTGGTTTAACATCAGAATTTTGTGTACTTTATCAATGTAGGTTAGGAATTTTTATTACATTTATATTTCAGGAGTTATTAGTCAATTTATGAAAGATCTGAGAATATAGTTTGAACGGATTTCAGAACCTATCGCATTCTTATGCTCATATGCATCCGTTTTTTTTCTAATGATTGTACGTACATGAAGAAGTTCCACGAAGTAAATCAATAAAACATAACTCAAATTTCACCATTGTCAATACAAGCTTGAGCGCATTGCATCGACAATTCATTTGATGGAACTACATCAATAATAGAACGTAATAGTCAATCATATTGACTCTGGATGATTCCTTTTCTATTATCTCTGAATTTGTAACGAATATCATAGATATTTCGATTAGTAAGATATAAGCAGGAATTATCTGGATTTGTTTGAATTAAGATAAAATTACAATATAATAAATCTATCCTAAATCCAATTGATTTTTTTATGGAAAAATATTGTTGAAATGTTATACGTTATCTAAACTTCATTGTTTATTCTTTCGAAGGAGACAATCGCGAGTTCTCTAATATTTCTAAGAATTTCTCTTTACAAAAGAGATAAGATCTTCATCAATCGACATCAAGATAGTTCTATACTGCTGACACATTTTCATTTTAGAATATCTCAAAACTTTCAACGCATCCATTATTTAATCGTCAACGTCTGTAATGGTGTTTAACTAACATCTATTATATTGCCTTGATTAGAGCATGTACGATCTGTGAAAAGTTCAAATTTTTCCTCCTATACTTCAACACTCGTTTTAGATCATGTTCTATCAAAGAGAAAAACGATATTTTCTAATAAAATAAAAACAACCCATGTCACATAATTGGATTAAGTTTATATAAAATTGGTGAACCATCTTTTCATTCTAAATATTTGGCAAGAAAAATTTTCACAACAGTTAAATGACAATCATCTTCTTCTTCATAACATGGAATTCTACATGTTTTATCTTTCATCATTCGACAAACTAAATTTTATATTGAAATTTTATTAAAAAAAAAAAACATAATTGTTTTTTCTTAAATATTTTTCTTATGAATAAATTGTTCAACAAGTCCTTGACCTATTCGTCCACCATTTAAATACCTGACTCTTCCCTAAATATTTAACAATATTGATTAATATTCTTTGTTTTTGTTTTTTTCTTTATCTAATTCACTTAGAGTAGCATAAATAAAATCAATATTTTCAAGAAAATTTTTAAATATTCCAGTAATCGATTGATTACTTAATAAATGTGATTGGTAAAGATATGCTAAACTCCATATTGTATCATATACATAACCATCAAAATAATCTTTTTCTAATTTAGAAAATTGTTTTATATATTCCGTAATATATTCTGATTGATTCTAAAAAATAATTCAAAAACAAACAAAAAAATTCTTTTGTTTTGTTTTGTTTTTCTCAATAGATTTTTTAAAAAATACTTCATTATCATCAATAGATAAAGGTGGTACACGTGTTTGTAATGTACCATTAATTACATGAATTATTTCTTGCATTGAACAATCAGTTGGTTCATTCCACCAAGTTGATAATGATGGATAACCAAGAATAATCCATTGATAACGAGAACCATAACACTTGTTCACGAGCTGACTATCCTTTGAAAACAAAATAAGAAATTTTTGTTTTTCTTGAATTTTATCATATATACCTGACAAAACATATCAGTAGCAATTGTTTGATTAAAATTTCCATTAATTATTCGTACATCTCAACCCTTCAAAAAAAAAGAACGAGAAAAAGAAATTTTTGTTGAAGAATTTAATGAACAATATATTAGTTTAAAATCTTTTTAAAATGACATATAATTATAGAGCAATATATATTTTATTCTAACTACATGACAATCATGCGTCAGTAACAGGCAAAACGTTGTTATTCTAAATGAGTACTAGTTGACATAGTTTTCGAGTTGAATATTATTTCGAAAACTAATCATAATCTCTAGAGATTATCTTATGACAATAAAAATAAAATAAAATAACATTACTATTGAGAGTTAGCTGTTAGAAAGTGTATTAGTTTTTTTTCTGTATGTAAAAGCTGGAAAATCTATAAAGTTTACAGCGAAGATCGTTGAAAAAAAAGGAGAAAATAATGTAAAGGTCATGTTGAATACTTTCATACATCATCCATTGATATATGAATGTTTTTTTTTGGTAAAAATAAGTCATCTATTGGATTGTGTTTGGTAGAAGAACATTTTTTAAAAATCCAATATTTGTTTATTTAGATTATTTTTCAATAAATACGACAAAATATTTCTATTTAATCAACGTTATAAATCAAAAAAAAACTCTTTGATATAAAATTTGAGATCAAAATAATATTATGTTAGGGTGAAACAGTAAAATATTCACGAAAAAAACATATGTCTAAGAAAATAATTCAATAATTTATGTTTAAACCTAATTCATCAAGTTTGTTGCTAATAGTTACGTAAGCAATGTCAATGTTGAGCCTAGATATAAGTGAGAGTCTTTGTTTTTGATCCTGACAGAATCGAGATTGAAACCATCGTGCTCGTATCTAGCTGAAACTCTTCACTGTTTGAACCCATGCAACCAAACAGAGAGCTCAGCCAATTTCAACCTTCAAATCCCCACTATCAAAAGCCTGGTTATGCCTTCAGACACTAATAGTTATTTCTAAATTCTTATCATTATTATGAAGAGTTCTTGTGACTTCGTAGATGTCGCTTATCTACAGTAATTTAAAAAAAAACGAGAAAAAAAAGAGAAATGTTTGGTAAATGTTAATGCACGAAAAGTTTAAAATGATTTTACATATATGACTATGAGTTTTTGATCTTTCAATTGACGTGAACTTTTTGAAAATCCATGAATTATGATATGGAATTTAAGTTGAATAAAACAATTTGAATGAATGAACGAATGTTCTATATATTTGTTAATATAATTGTAATATTTATTATAGTTTTGCTTCATTGATCGAGTGGATTTATTTTAGATGGATGAAAATATACTTCGTTCACGTCAAAAAGTAGCAAGTAAAAGTGATGAGAAAACTTCCGATCAAGAAAAAGAAAAGATGTTAATAAAAAATCGAAAACAAACTGGTGAAAATTATGATTTTGGTGATATAGAAAAAGTTCCATCTAATATTGAAAATATTATGGAGAAATATTTTTGACGTATATTTATTTGGGAATTATATTTTGGTAAGACAAATTTTTAATGATGATGATTATTTAAAGAGAATAATTATTTGTTCTTGTATAGGATAGATTTTTTGGACAATTTTTTTTGGCATTGCTCCAATGGTTATGTTTTTTCCCATGGTGAAATTAGTTATTCATGGTTATGAAGTATTAATACTTAGTTTACCAAGTCCAATTATAGTTTGCCCTTCATTAGTGAATAATATTCCACAACGTTAGTTTTGTTTCTTTTGTTGAATCTTTCGAAATGAAATTGTTCTTTGTTTTTTTTTCCTATAGAGTACTCTTGGAAAATTAATTATTAGTTTATTATCATTTCAATTAGAAGATCCTCTATTACGATTATTAATACTTTCATGTGGTACTTGTGCTGTTATGATTCATCTTTGTACAAGTCTTAATTTATGATATTATTCATATAGGTAAATATTTTTAATTGAATTTTAAACATTAGAGAAAAATTGATTATTTTTTCATATTTAGATCAATTCTTGTTTGGACATTGACAAATTGTTTTTTTTTTCTTTCTTAGTCTTTGTATTTGTTTTTTAAGTTATATACCAGCATGGTCGAGTGTGATGGCAACATTTAATAAATTTTCTCATTGGACATTGGAACAATCATTGATCAATTTGGAAGAGGTAAAGCATTAGTAGTTTTATTAATCAACTTTTAGTTAAGATTTAATCTTCAACATGTAGAGATGTCTATGACAGTGCTGGCATCACAGTGGCACTTTTTTAAAAAACTACTGCGGCGCGTCACCGACAGATTTCCAATCTTGATGAATATCTTTGATACATAGAGTGTTTCATAGATTCTAAACCTCGACGAAAATTTATTGATATAGAGACATGAAATGATTTCTAACTGAATAGATCTATATTGATTTAATAGCCATGTAAGTTCAAAAAACATTGACTTTTACTTCATGGATTTTAGTTTTGTTGTAGACAATAGCTGAGGATAGAAAATCTTATATCCAAAGTTTTTTCTGAAGATACCTAGATTTTTCAAAAACAATCGATTAACTTTTCATTAGCAATTTGTTTATGAAGAATTAATTATTAATTAATAAATTAAAATTGATTTTTTTTTTCTTCCATAGACAATCCTATGTGGCAATTACTCCCATCAATATCATTTTATTTATTTTCAACAAAATCTACACTTGGTATGTTATCTAATTTCTTTTTTTCTTTTTCATTTGTGTTAATTGAATGGATGAAAGCTTTTTTTTTTTATTACATCGTTTTGTTTTGTTCTATTTTTAGGAATCAATCCATTACGTTCAGCATCATGTGAAAATATTTTACAACCAAATTGGTTATTAGTTGGTATTGGATTTGGTAGTTTATTATTTTATCTTCAATGGGTATTTGGTGATATATCAGTTGTTAGTCGATGGGCTTCGAATGGTTTTCCAAATCAACCACTCGATCCAATACCTTATGGGTAAAGGACAAGATATTTGTTATTTTCTAACTAAAAAGGAGATCATCTTTTTTTTTTTCGTTTTGAAGTCTTCTCATATGGTTTGGTTTATTTTGTGGTATTGTAATAATCAATCGTCTTAGTATAGTAACAAATCGATGGTGGGTATCAGTAGGTTTTCTTGGTTCTGGTTTGTTATATTTCAGTCGTGGAAATGTTTCATTTATGAGTAAATGAAAAATTTTATTTTATGTATTTGATTAGTTTTTTTTTTTGAATTTTTTCAAAAAAGGTGGTTTTGCTCTAAGTATATTTATTGGATCAATACTTCCATTATTATTTGATAAAATAGCTCGTGGTCTTTCAACACATATTGTTTTTATTGCTAATTTTGCATATATTATTCAAGTTATTTATGCTGTTTGGACAAGTGCTTATAATTTTGTTCCGTTTGGTGGAACATAAACACGAGAAACATCTCATATTTTAGTATTCTTTTATTTTCTTGGCATTTATTTTGAAGTTTATACTGCTCGTAAGAAAATTTCAACGAATATTTTATTGTTATAAATAAATATAAACTATGTATTTAGAACATAATTTAGGAACGTTATATACGTGCTCGTATCTCGTCAATAAAGTTATCAAATCGTCAAATTTGGTCAGGTGAGAATTAGTGACGTAATTCAACCGTAGGTGTGGAGAGGGAGGGAGCTCACAATCAAGGTCTCTCAACTGATAAAATGCTTTTGAGTCAAGACTACGTGCATTATATAGAATCAAATGAACTTTGAATACTCTGAAAGTAGTTCAGGCCATAGATTATTGTTGCGGACATACTGCACATTTATCGTAGTTTTTAAATGAATGCCATGGTACCTCTCAGGACTCTGTTGTTGCCTTTTAAATACCATTCTATTGGAACGTAGATGACATTGTAATCCAAATACACTTCGGCAAAGATTTAAATTGTTTATTTATATCATAGTTTATAAATAATCACAATAAAGACCTTTTAAATTAATAGAATCACATGACATAATGATGAGAGTGAGAGTGTTGATGAGGGCGAAGCCTCTGTTCTATCTACAGCTCGCACTCATACCCACATCCTATTATCATCAAGCGTTGTCCTTGTTGTACTGAAAGAAGATTTTGATAGTAGAAGACATTTTTTCGGAGGACCATTTCTACCGAGAACATTTTTGAAAAGGACGTGTTGTTCTGTACCGTGACAACATCGACATATCTCTCTTCTCTCATGGTTATCCTTATACTTCTCTCTTGGTTGTGTATATAAACGTGTGTTCTCTGTGTGAATAATGTGCGAAAGTCGAATGAAGCATAATTCTATTCGCGCTAGTACTTGTTCTATGAAAAATGATCATAAGGAATACTAGAAAAATTGATGTTAGAATTTCGAGTAGAAACTTTGTATAGAGACGGTCTTTAATGAGAATAGTTTCTTATGAACGTTTTACATCTTGTTGCTGTTGTTTCTATCTTAACCTTCTAAAGCTTTTTTTGGTGGGTCTGGCTACACTCACAACGTCGTTTTTCGTTTTCTGCTACATTAATACTTATTCTTTTCCGACTAATCTCTTTTCTAATCGTTAGCCTGCTAACAATATAAAAAGATCTTATTAACTTTCATAAGTATCAGAGAAAAAATTCAATGAGGGATCTATATGAAACAATTCAATCGTGATATTGATTTTATTGTATTTTGTTCGTTATAGAATATAAAAAAGAAATTTCACTCGTTTTTAATGAGTAGATTAATATCATGATGCATATGAAGACATTTACTCATGTATGCTCTAGTCAGATCTCTAATTTGAGCTTCTTCCATACTATTTTAATATTGTACTGTTATTATAATCTCTTAGAAAAATTTCTTTTAATCAGCAACAATAAGCTAAAAGTCAGAATTCTTTTCAGGATGTTTAAAACTCATTTAGATCTACATAATACATATAGTCCCGACTCAAAAACGATTGATCAGCCTGGAAGAGTTTCCTCGTTAGCCATTTCTAATCTCCGTCTATTTATGCTACTAGTGAAAAGTCAATTGATTGATAAGAGAAAAAGATTCTTTTTTATTTTACCATTTGGTATTGCCTTTCTAATTGCATGTATTGGTACATATTCACGTTTTCTTGCTTTACCATCAACATCACTACGCAAAGCAGAAGATGTTCGTTGTGTTTTTTTTTGGCAATAATTTTTATCTGTAAATTTTGTTTTTTGATAATTAGCCAACTTATCTTACTGCTGCTGTTTGGACAGTTCATTTTGGTTATGATAATAATGCTCGTCCAAGTCTTGATCGTGTTGCATCCGTACTTGCTGATACGAGTTAGTCAAAATTCTATTATTTGAATAATTATTTTTTTATTTTTATTTTTTTTGACTATCAACTTAGATGCAGATGTTATTAATCTTCTTGAAAGAGATACAGGAAAACCATTTTTTCGAAATAATGATTTAACATCTTATTTAGGAGAAAAATGACATATGTTTACAGATTTTGGTCCATCAACAAAAGATCATACTTAGGGGTAACAATAAATAAATAGAAATAAATAAAATAATTTTGTATCTTTCTTTTTGTTCAGATGTATTATTCTTTGAAAATATCGAATTGTTCGATCAGTACATTATTTATTACCATCACCAGAAGGTAAATATTTGAAAATATAAAGATAAATATATCTAGAAAATAATATTAGGCGAACTTGCTCCGGCTATTCTTGCAACAATTCAAACAGCAAGCAAATTAATTTATATAATTATTGTTCATATGGGTAATGATCGAGATGATTTAGATAGAAAATTACAAGGTGAAACATTAAAGAGATATTATGAAAAATAGGTTTGATATTTTATTCTTTTTTTTTAGAAATAAAAAAGATTTTTATTTTTTATTTTAGTACTAATCCATTAGTTTTTCTTGGTTATATAACATCAGAACCATTTAGTCGTGATTATCGAAGATTAACTTCAGTTGCAAAAGATATTGATCCAACAGATAAAGATCGATGGTGTCAATATATTTTATATAAAAATTTAATTCAGTAAATTTCATATTTTTTATTTGAATTTTTATTATGAGGAAAAAATTAATTTTAGTATTGGTTATGCTCGAATTACTCATGGAAGTTTGACTGATACAGAAATTCAAATGGCTACATTTAAGATTCGAACAAGTGAAAAATTTGATGATCATTCAATTTTAGTTACTGATCCATCAGTTGTTACTGAACAATCAGTTCTTTTTAATTCAAAGTAGAATTTATGATACGAAATACTTAAGTATATTAACTTTTTCTTTTTTTAATAATCATTTTATTTTTCACAGAAACTTTTCGATCATTCTACAGGGGACATGATTATTTAAATACTCATCGTTTTCATATGAATACACCAGTACGTTTATTTCTTTTCTGTATTTTAGTTTAATAAAATTTTTATTTTTAGAAATATTTTCTTGCACGTGAACATCAAACTAATTAATGTCGATTAAAATAAAAACTTTTTTCAACAAATTGACTGTGATTAAAGTGCTAATATTTCTCTTCTTTTTCTCTCCTTCAATTAAAATTATGTATTTCCCTATCTATTTAAAAGATTCGTATAAACCTTTTTCTATGATTAATCTTACTTAGTTCTTTTGTTTTTTTTTTGCCTTAATAAAAAAAAGAATCTTTTGATCAATAAAATATTTTTCTTTTAATATATTATTCTCAACAATGACAACCTTTTATTGATTTTACTCACAACATAATTCAAGCGTTACAAAACACAGAAGTTATTCTAACCATTAGCAAGCTTACCAAACCTCCTGATTTTCTTACTTTTCTCCTGATAGAAAATCTTCTAAATTCAGGAACTGATTTTTATGATTTTCTCCTGTTTTCAGGTTTTTTTTTTTTTTTTGCATGACGATTAGAAATACCTTGACCCAATAGAGACTTGAAAGAGAGAAGAGATCTATCGGAGTGTTTAATGGATATAATTATCAATAAGGATATACATTGCCTTTCGTTGTGAACTAGCTTTTAGTCATATGATATATTTTTGGAATAATAATTGAAATCGAATCAAACAGGATTTATTTGGAGTTGAATTAAAGATTAAAATGAATACACATTATAGCTGTACACAGTATTATAATTATCTTTTAAATAAACGAGATTTTTTCAAAGAGATTCGATCGTCAGATAAGTATAGTCATATTGCAAAAGTCCCACGAATAGTTTAGTAAATTGGTTATACATTGTTTTACTTTTATGTTTTCATTTTAAATATTTGATATGTTAGCTTTGATTTTGTATTTTTTATGTATTCTAATACACTGCAAGTCAAAAGTTCGATACAACTTTTTTGTCTTGAGTGGTATATTACAACTACAGAATATTAATTTAATTTGTCTATATGCCTGTATAGTAGAGGTCTAGTACTACCTATGTATATATCTGTATAATACGAAAAGTCCTTGAATATAAAATACAACAACAACAACAAATGATAATAAAATGCTTGAAGTACTTTTTGTTTTGCAATAGAAATTATTTCAAAAGATTTTATAGAGTTTTCGACAGCACATCTTTTGAAAAAAAAAATCAAGATTTTATCATTTATCTGTGCAAAGATATTCGCAAAACAAACTATGTTGCAAACATTTTGGGACACTCGATATTTCACTGTTTAATATTTTGGCTATAACATAATCATTTCTCAATAAAATCCAAAATGTTTTTTTTAATCAAAATGACCAGTGAAAAAAGCTCTAGAGAGTCTGATAAAATGAAAAGTCTTTTGAATACTTTGCTAATATAGAAACATGTAGACAAATTAAATAAATGTTGTGTAGTTTTAATACACAACTCAAAAGAAAAGAGTGGTACCCGGCTTTTGACCCGCACTATAATTGCTTATGAAATAATTATTAAAATAAACGTTTATGAAATTATCAATCTTTTCTAATTTTATTTCACCTATAAGAAAATTTTTTAGTCACCATCTTGATTTGGAAACGAGAAAAGTGCATATAAGAGTGAAAACTTGGATCTTATCAGATAAAAACTACCGAATGGCTTTTCACCTTGAAAGAAAAGCCTCCTGATTTTTTATAAAAGACTCCTGATTTCAAAAATTTGAATTTGGTCTAAGGGCTCAAATCACTTTTTGACTAAGACAATGTTTATTTGATAAGTAATAGAAAAGTCTAGAATGATCTTGTTTTCCAGATCTTACATCAATATTTAACTGGATTTTTCAATAAAAAGTTGTGGTTACGTAAAAAAATTGACTTGAAACTATGCATGAACAAAGTTTTCAATTAGATTAGTTTATTGAATAAAATTGTAACTTTTCTAGTATCTCCTTCCTATCTTGAGATTTGAAATATTCGAAATTCTCTCAGGTGTAAAAGCAAATTTTGTTCATATATTTAGGTCTTGAAAAGGAAAATACTTGTTGCACAATCAACTAATCTCATTAAGAACTTTCTTCATGCAAACGTTCGAAGTCGATTTTTCATGTGATTACAACTTTTTGTTGAAAAACCCAGTTAAATTTTGACGTTTTGAAAAGAAAGGCCAGCAAAACTAAACCATTCTAGATTCTTCTATTAATTATCAAATGAATACCGTCTTGTTCAAAAAAACGATTTGACACTAGGAGACGTTTCCTCATTAGTGGAGACCTGGTCGGCATGTCTATTGTTTTTATATTTCTTTCGACTATAATCGATTGACATTAAAATATTGACAGTATAGATCGTGATATAAGGCAATAATAGTGATTTACAGTTGGTTTTTTCTTTTGTTCTTTTTGTTTTATTTTTCGATCGTTAAAGCATAATAGAATCTTTTATTGATAATTACTTGAGCAGTATGACGTCAATAAAAATCATAAGAACAAAGTCTAAAAGTCGAGTATGTCGTTTTCATCTGATAAGAATTAGTGATACAATAATGTGTTTTCTAGAACGATAAGACATACAAGATATGTATTATTTCAAATATTTAAATAAAATCTCCAGTCTATTTCATCTTAATGACAAAAGTTTATTTTCAAATCAATCTTCTCTCTACAAATAAACGATCAAAGGAATAGTTTTGAAAGAAAAAGCGTTATATCAACGATATTAATAATAACATAGATATTATTTATTATCCATCAGAAATACATCGTATACTAGCAGATGGTATCAAAGTAAAGAACCATTCAACTATATATGAATAATCAAATTAGAAATTTTATGTAAAAAAGGATATTTTTTTCAAATTTCTATTATGTTTATTACCATATTTGACATATCTTTCACTACGCTTTTTTTTTCGATCATTACAAATTCTATTTGAAAAGAAATTTCTTTTTAAATATACTTGTAATGAAGTTTCAGGTTTCATATTAACATGAAATACTATTTATTATTCAAGTATTTGTGTAAATGCATACGTAAATTGATCCCATATGAAACATTGATAAATTAAAGTTATTATTCGAATTGTTATTTAGACCTAAAATATCCCGAAGAGACCGAAGATAAATGATCGATGGCTAATTCCATTAGAAGATATATACCTAGACAGATGGAATTGCATGTGACTATAATTTATTCGGTTGTGGTATGGCAACTAAAAAGAAAGGAATTTTGCCATTTTCACTGTCGATTTTGTATGAAAGAGTCTACGAGACTTCAATGAAATTTTAAAAACGTTATATTTTCTTTTTTCGTAATTTTTATTGCAAAATTTTTTTTTTTGTCAAATGTTTTCATATAATGGAAATTGTTTCGAATTTAAATATCTTCATGAAACTGAAAAAGACAAAGTTTTATTCGGTGTAACATCGGATATTCAAATAATATATTCGTCAGACACACAAAAACCAGTAATTGATCTTATCTAAACAAGATATTATTTTACCTAATAATGAGAATAAAATCATATTTTATTGGAAACGTGAACATAAAGCACAATATGAAATAATTGGTTAAGGAAAAGTATGAGTGTACTGCGATCAATAAACAAGAAAATGATTTTACTTATATCAATATCCTTTGTTGATCGAAGACTGATAAGAGAAGGTTCCAGACTGTCTAATCGGTTTTTTTTCACCTAGTAGATTATAAGTAATCAACCGTGCTAATTACGAATATCAATACGTCACTGGCAACTAGAACTCCAGAGACTGATTACTGGAAAGTCTCTTTTTCCGTCGAAACCTTTTTTGATCCATCTAGATTGTGAAGCACGTCGAGTTGAGCTTGTTAGGAAACTACCACGGAAGCCACCAGAAGCATAATTCTTTTCCTTTCCTTATTGATCTTTACAGAAAGTTGTGTATTGATATTCGTAATTAGCATGGTTGATTACCTATAACTTACTAGATTTGATTAAAAAAAAATGATTAGATAGATTAGGAATCTTAACTAGTGAGTAGAAGTCCAATCTGACACGAAGAGATTAACTATGTTCTTGTTTTTCAGTAATTCCGCATAGTTTTAATAAATATTTCAATAGAATATGACTCAATTCTTTGACTTTCTTTTAAATGGATGGATATTTTCCTTATATTCATTTAATAATAGAATAAATGAATCAAACAGATAGATGAAAAATACTTTATCTTTCAAATATAGTAAAACTTCTCTATTGCAAACATGATGAAGACCGCTAAAAATGTTCACTATAAAGGCATGTTCAGTTTAGAAATTTACCGTGAAATGAATAAACTCTTCCCGAATATCTAGGTCCACATTAATCTTAGGAAGTTTAGAAATTACAACACAAGATTTGATGTCTTATTTTTGTCTTTTTACTTTTGAATCACTATCGATATTAATTAGTTTTAATTATAATCCAAGAAGGAAAACATTTAAAAATGTTCATTGTTAAGAATAAGAATTTGTTCAGATTAGAGAGAGACATTCCTAGCAACAAAATTCCTCCCTCAAACTTAGGAAGCGTTGACTAGTAGAGGTTTTTGTTTTAGATAGGATTATGAACAAAGTTTTGTAGAAACTTATATTATTCAACAAAGATTAAAATATCATAGATTTCTCTTTCACTTCTATTTTTTCCTTTAAATCCTCGAATAAAGTTTAGATTGAAAAAAAATATTTTTTTTAATCAATATTTAACATAATAGCCAATTAAATTCATTGACAGATTCGATATTTTGTTTCATAATAATGAAAAAAGTTTACAAAAAAAAAAAACTCGAAGTGTATTTTGTTATGTTCGCTTGTTGTTTGTCAATAAATAAAGACATTGTATAATTGTTATTAACAACATCGAACTAATAGACCACAAATAACTGGATCATTGATACATCTGAGAAAACAAATGATAAAAATATTGATAAATAATTTGTTTTAAAAATCATACCCATTAACAAATTCTTGTTTACTTAATTTCTTATCATCACTAATGTCTAGTTTAGCAATGATTTCCTTAGCACGTTTTTTTTTGGATCCGATTCACCTTTTTGATCAGTTATACCAGCACGGTAGTACTATAAGAACAGAAAATCTTATTTTATCGAATGAAAAACAAAATCAAAAAGAAATTTTACCATAACTGATATTAAATAAGTTAGTTCTTTTCGATAAATTTGTCCATCGTTCGGAATCATCCCATCTAAATAAAACCAATAAAAAAAAGACAATCAATAATTAATGAATACTAACAAATTAAATAGAAATGTAAGTCTTTGTTCTAAGTTGCCTAATTTTTTTCTAATAGGAATTAATAGAAGAAGTTCATTGAAATCAATTGTACTATCATCATTTATATTGATTCGATCAAAAATTTCTCTAAATATTATCAATAAAAAAATTCAATAAAATTTTATATAATTATTCTTACGTAATATCTGCTTCATCATGTAGATGTAATTTCTGATAATAATCAATAAATGTCTTTTTATCAAGTGTATCTGATGGATATTGACGAAGAAAATCCTGCAAATGAAAAAAAAACCAACGATCGATCATTTGGATAGTTCATTCGAAGAAATATAATTAATAGAAAATACTGTATGCCATTCTCGAATTTCTCTTTTATGAAAATAAATCAAAATAGAAGACTTCAATATCTAGTCAAATTTGTTTTACCTTGCTCAGTAAGTTTAGCATTTGCTGTAAGTATATCACATTCTAGAATTATATTTTAAAAAAACTATGACAGGCTGAATATAATTTATTTTAAAAAAAAGTTTACCCGTTAGGAGTCAAATTCATATTTGTTCGACCTTTTTTTGGCATTATTTTTTGTTCGTTAATAAAGATATTTTTCGTTAGATAATGAGTGACTTTTTTTCTTTATAGTTTTCAGTTGAAATTGAGTAAGCGTCGATAAAATGTGATCAACAAAGTGTATGCATTATACTTAGAGAATTGAAAGAAACAAAAACAACATTCACTTTTATATCTACTCAGAAATTAACTACTGACAGAATGAAAGAAAATAAAATCAACCATATTAATTATTTGGCAAACAACACTAAGATTTATATATGTTGATGACGTCATTATGCTTGATTCAATAGTGTTCATAATCTTCGACTACGACAAAATAATATCGTCATTGGTGATTACTAGCAGATCGTAGATTAACCTTTGAATACTGATTTTTCTTTTTGGTACAACTGACGAAGAGAGTAATGCATTCAAATGTAATATTAAACAAATAGAAAAGAAAAAAAAACACGAAGTCTCGGATTAAGTAGGTTTTTCTCTACTATGAGTAAAATAATATGAGAATGAAATCTATAGGTTTTATTCCGAGACTAGGACTCTATGCATACAAATGATTATTCATTGATATATTTGAAAAACTTCGATATGTCTGAACTTGTCTATAGGCTCGAGTATTTCCTATTAGAATTCGTCCAGGAACTTGTTCCAATATCACTATTCTTGTTCGAAGTACAACTCGACGAGCTCCATCGAATAATATAATTAGATTTCCTATAGCTCAAAACTGCTTCCTGAAAAGCCGATTTAACTTGTTTTTTTTTAACACGGAGAGTCAGTATACTACGGCATATTTGCTTATGGGATTCGTTTAGGATATATTTCTCGATGAGTATACACTCTATGTCTGCTATTGACGAATGATTTTCCCAAAATATATCTCTCAAACTGTCAAATGTTTATCAACTGTCATTCATCAAGCCTCTTTTTTTTATTTCGCTGCCTAAGAAGAATCGATGCCTGATATGAGACTTGTCAGTACGAAGAATTTACATTTATATATAGGAAAGAGAGCATTTAAAGAAAATAATAGAATTCATAAAAGTGAGAGAGTGAGCATAAGGGGGGGGGATCAAGAAGTAAGACGAGGACGGGTTAAACACCATGAAAGGAGTGAAGAAACAGGCGGGGGTCAAGATACGTTAGTGATATATACACAGGTTAAAACAAGCATTTTTCGATAACTGTTACATGATTGTTGAATCGTTTAGCCCTACGAAGAGTCTGAACTTTCTGAATTTCCCCTAGTCATTCATTTCTATGTAAGTTACGGATAAGTTGCTCTGCAAGCAATTCTTCATCTTTTGATTCAGCAAATCCTATAAAATATTTATTCCAATGTCCCGTATATCTATTAACTAATAAGAATTCGTTGAATATGAACTCGAAGAACTCATCTAGCTAGTGCTGACAATGTAAAGTCCGTTTTACACAAGTAGAATAGAAATGCGCTAATTGTCTACGTTGGCATTCAGAGAAAAGGAGGAAAATAGGGAAAAGCCAGGTGAATATGGAGAGAATATATCAGGAGAACAACATCCTATGAAGCTCAGAAGATGTGATTCTATAAATGCGACAGAAGTTTATCATGCCAACTCTTTGGCAAATTTTTAGTAAGGATTTATTGATCATTATTGACCTGGTCAGTTTTGGACTAATCCAATAGGTGAGGTATTTATAGTATGTACACCATTTTTACCACATCTCAGGTTGAATTTAGGCCTTTCATTCACTCTCCATGCTCTGTCAGACCAGAATACCTCGATTTTTTCCTAATTAATTAGTTGAACCGAAAGTAATGAAAGATTATCAAAGAAAAGCTTAAGTCTCCTCTCAAGATTCAGACATTGTTCAGAATATTTAGCTCCAATCCGGCTGGCATCAAGTCTCTTGAGTTAATTTGAATTCTAATGCGTAGGTGCCTTTTTTTTGTTATCCTGTGCAGTCATTTGTATCAGAGATACCATATGGTAACTATGTTACAGACAGACATACATAGATGAATTCTCGTTTCTAGACTTTATCCTTTCGATCTCCGGAAAAATACGTTTTAGTTTAGTTGAGTCTTCTTTTTTCTGGAAATGAGGATAAAATATATTGAATTAATGTTTCGTTTGTTCTTCAAATAAGTTTTTTCATTCTTTAACAAATAAGAGTTTGATGATTTCTCTTCAATGTATAAATTGATTTGTCTAGTTAAATTAAATATTTACAAATTGAATCAAATAAACTAATGATTTCGCTGTTGATTTTTTTCAAAACTATTATATATTCGTATACATAAAAGAAAAGCATGCTTATGTAAGAGTAAAAAAAAAAAAGATGGAAGAACGTAAAAAGACAAAATTGACACCATAGAATGTTATAATGATAAAACTCTGATAACTAGGAAAATGTTTTTTCAAGAATAAAAATCGATACGAAACAAAAGCAAATGTTCACTGTTAATCGAAATAAATAAAGACAATAAATAATTATTGATAGACACACTAAACAAAAAAAAACGAATAATAATAAATCTAAAAAAATACTTTTTGTTGTTACTTGAAGATTGCTATTTGATGTTCTAATTGGTGAATGATTTATTGATGAAAAATTTTCATATAAATCATTTCTAGCTAATCATTTTTCTAAACGTTCAAAATAAATTTTAACAATTCGTTTTATTAAATTTAAACGATCAAACATTAATTTTAAATCATTTATTATACGTAATTGATCACCAGATAAAAGAGATTTTAAACGATAATTTATATTAATTAAACGTTGATGAAGTATTTCAAGATCATCATGAATAGAAATAAAACGATGAAGTTTTCTACGATAAATACTTATATTTATTTCTCTTTGATCAACAGGTTCTAATCAATGACTTAATGATTCAAGATGATCTAATTGTAAATTGATATCTAACATAGCATGTTTTATATCTTCTGCTTGAATAAGATTTGTCTATTTAAAAAAAAAAAAAGAAAATATATTATTCGAAACAAAAAAAATATTTCAAATATCTACTTTGATTTCTCGATGTTTACGGTTTTTTCTAGGAAATAAAAATTGAAAATTTTCTTTAATTGATTGAAGACGATGATCAATCAATAACCATTCATTTGTATCATCACTAAATTGATCATCTAGATCCATTGTTGATTTTAAAAGTGTTTGAAATTCATCTAAAATATATTCAAATAATATCTAACAAAAAAACAAAAGAATTTATTTGTTTTTATATGAAACCTAATCGTTGAACTTGATCACGATGTGCATCTGCTTTTGAATAAACAGTTCGAGGTACTAAAAAAAACGTTGTTAACTTAATCGTGATGAAATTAAAATGTGAAACACAACAAAAAAGAAAAGAATAGTGTTATTTTATTTACATAAATCATCTAGAGTTGTAAATCGTTCAGCTGCTTATTCAAGATCTTCTAATTGTCGTTTAAAATATTTCCATTTTAGGCGATTTTCTTTTAAATGTTCATCTTTATCATGAGCTAATCTTTGTAAACGATTCGATTTGTCCATAATATCTATTTAAAAATTTATTAAATTAAAATCAATTGATTTTTATATCATTCTTACCAACAACAACTGGATCATTATTAAGATAATCAACTAATAAATGACCTAATTCTTGTTCAATTTTTTGAATTATTTCACATAATGATTCAATCTTTCGACGTGTTGTTGTTAATATTCGAGTCTAAATAGAATTATTTAGAATTTTCATTTTATTTTATTTAAAACGAAAAAAAAGAAGATTCTTTTACATAAGTAAATTCAATAGGTAAATATTCAACATGAACACTAATTCGTGTTTCAGAACGAAATGTTTCTTCTTTGGCAAGAAAATCACCATTAATTTGAACGAGAATATCTTCAAAATCAGATAAAAGTTCCTGAGCACGTTGATATTGAT